TGTTCCCCCCCCCTCCTCGCCACAGGCCTACATACCGCACTCCCCTTTCCCGGGTAGGATGCACGCAGCAGGGTTGACGCGGACCGAGTACTTGGCGGTGGTCAAGGCGGCTGGGGGACGGCACCGAGTTCCACGGACTGAGCGTGGTCGTGTCGAGGGATACTGCGGACACGTCCCGGGCGCAACGGCCCATTCCATCTCGACCGTGGCGGGCCTCTACTCTCAGCTGGCCTACGAGGTCGGTGCAGGCGTTCTGCCCTCGGCAACGTCGAGCGTCACTGGTGCTGGCACGGCAAAGCTTCGCAAGCCTGGCAAGCCCTCGTCCGAGACAGACATCCCGGATCTGGATCTGACCATGTACGGCGACTCGGCCTATCGCGGCTCGGCCAAGACCGGCGGCTCGGTGTCGGGCAAGCTGGAGCGGGCGGATGGCCGCGGGACCGGAGGCGCGGTGCCTGGTGGCACGACGGGGGATGATGCGGCTGAGGCCGATCCGGAGAACACCTTTGTGGCCCATCCAGCGGCTCCGCTTCTTCGCGGCGTGTACTCGGCCAAGGTCGGCCTCACGCCCGAGCAGGAGGCTACCACCCGCGACGGCTACATCAAGTCGTTCCTCGACCGCAAGGTCGCCAACACCTACACTCCGACCGAGGACAGGCCCAAGCGGTACCTGGCCGGCAAGACTGGCGTCGGCTGCATGGCCATCGGTGGTGTCGCAGGCGACCGCAGGCAGTCGGCGTCGGCTGCAAGCGCCCCCACCGGCCCGCGGCCCATCGTCATTCCGCCGCCGCCGTCGACGGCAACTGCCACCGCGGCCGATGTGAGTGAAATCGCCCCGGTCGTGCCCGTCGTCAAGTACGAGGCGCCCGATCCGCAGCGGACCTCGCCGTCCAACGGCATTCTCGGCAATGGCTACTCGTTTGCCCTCGTCGACCGCCGCAACGCCAAGCGCAACGAGGCCTCCATCCCGCCGGGCTACACCGGGTACTACCCGGGCTCGAAGTACCTGATTGGCAGCTGAGTGCTCAGCCCAGCCGCAACAGCCTCACACCCCCATAAAGTACCCAATCGCAGCTGCTTCATTCATTCTAGCCGCGGCGGCTGCATCTGCTCGTCGAGATGGACCGAGAGCGTGGCTTCGAGCGAGGCGTTGCGAGCGGCGAGCTCGGCACAGTTGGCCTCGGCGGCAGCGGCGCGGGCGCGGAGCATGGCCAGCTCGGTCTGGAGCAGATCAACGGTCGAGCCTCCGCTGGCGGCCGCGCCCGACGCCTCGACCTCGAGCCGGGCCTGCAGCAGCCGGGTCTGCATGTCCGCCTCGGCGGCACGCTGCTCAAAGATGGCAATGGTCCGCTGGAGCGCGGCCTCGCGGAGGTGGGCACCGCGGACCTTGGCGCGGAGCTCCGAGAGCTTGATCTCGTTCTCGGCTGCTGCGTCAGCGACCATGTCGTGGGCAATACCCTCGTACTTGGCCTCCAACTCTGTGGCGCAGCGGTTGAGTGCGTCGTCCACCGCAGCCTTGGTGGCGGCAGCAGAGCCGGCGATCTGGCGCGAGAGCTCGCCAACCCGCACGCGCTCGGCCTGCAGTGCGTGTTCAAGGCGGCGCACGCGGGCAGAGTCGTCGTCGGTCTGGACAGCAGCGTTGGCAACGGTCTGCTGGCGAGTCCGCATGGCCTGTAGCTGGGCGCGGAGCTCGGCCATGTCCAGTTCGAGCTGCATCTTGTCGTTGACGAGCGCCGCCACCCGCGAGAGCAAGCCGCCGGCCTGGTCGCCCATACCTTCAAGCTGGGCCACCACCACAGGCGCGATGCGGGCAAGCCAAATGAAGGCACCTAATATCGATGCAATCTGCGGCGAGAGATACCGTCGGATCTTGAGGTCCTGCGACTGCCAGGCGGCGGTGTCGACCGCAAACTGCGATGCCAGTAGCGCAAGTAGTGGCTGGACGCCGGCAACCAGCGGGCGGACAGCAGAGTCGGCCAGCCGGGCCAGGAGCCGCAGCGACTCGGTCGCCCACCCCATGCGCGTCGGCGCCGGGCCGACGGCGACAGCCGATGCCAGCGCCAGTTCGACCGCCCACCCCGAGGTCACATCGTCGACCTCGGCCGCACCACCAGCCTCCAGCAGCGTGGCCAGCGTCGCCGAGAGCAGCGTCACATCTCGGATAGCAGCACGGCCCTCGCCGCGACCCATCCGTTCTTCGCCCCCCGTGCCGCCCTCACGTCCGCTTGTCTCCGCTCCCCCCGCCTGCCCGCGCATCCTCGCTACGGCCGACGCGGCAGGGGCGACTCTGCCGCGGGCATCGACCTCGCCCCGACGATGCCAGTTACCACCGCCGATGTTGGGCATCTTGAGCGGCGGCGGGAGCTGATGCGGGCGAGCACTCGAGGTCGATCGGCGTCTCTGCCACGGGCGGTGTGTTGCAGCAGATCGTGTGCGGCCGGACTCTGCTTCGCCATCACCACGACCTTGGCCTCGACCCGACGCCGCCGTATCAGTCCGTGGCGGAGGGGGATGCGGCGAGAATCCAGCCGTTGATCCATACTGATGTGCTGTGGCCACACTCGATGGTCTCCCCGAGTTGGTGTTGACCTTGCTCACACTCGCCTCTCCGCTCGTCTCGATTGCTTCACTCCGGCTGGTCCTTCGTCGGGTCAGGTGGCGGAGTGTGTGCGCCGTCGTCATTACCTTTTGGGGGTCTGTGGCGGGAGGGACGAAGATATGGATGGAGGAGTGGATGGGGTGGAAGGGGAGGATGAGGAGGTGGTGCTGGTGGAGGGGTGTGGCGGCGGAGAGTCGGTTGAAGCGGGGAGGAGGGAGCGGTTCAACGATTAGTTTGAACGTTTCGGTGATGATTGGAGGCAACGATTAACTGAACGTTTTGGGCAACGATTACTTTGAACGTTTCGGTCATGATTGGAGTCAACGATTAACTGAACGTTTTGGGCAACGATTAGTTGAACGTTTCGGTCATGATTGGAGTCAACGATTAACTGAACGTCTTGGGCAACGATTAGTTTGAACGTTTCGGTCATGATTGGAGTCAACGATTAACTGAACGGTTGGCTTCAGCTGGCGCGCAACGACGGCAATGACGGCGACGATGTGCCACGACGGACCTTGTCACCGCACGGCAGACTCGTCTACGCCAGGTCGTCAGCAGTTGGAGGCGAGGTAGGTGACATGTGTGCAGATGATGTGGTGCGGGTGGGGTGGTTATGGATACCCTGGTGGAGACGGTGGCGGCTTGTGCGTGGCGCTGGAGACCAGGCGAGGGGCGAGCAGACTGTGTTGCTCACTATGTGATGGCAGGCGCAGGGCAGCAGCTATGGATGACGGAGGGTATGACGGGCAGGTCGATCTGTTTCGGGCGACGCGGACAGGGAACATCGAGCAGGTCAAGTGGCTAGTGAGCTACGGACAGGTTCAGCTCATGCCATCGGCAGACGAAGTGGCGGCGGCGGCGGCGGGCAGCGAGGCGGTGGACTCGATCTTGCACGCGGCGGCGGCGTCGGGCTCGCTCGACGTGCTGGCGTATATCCACTCGCTCCTGAGCGGTGCGGACACGGCGCACGAGGTGGAAGAGGCCGAGGACAATGGGGTGTGGGAGGCGTTGGTGGACTCGTTTGACTCGAGTGGGTCGACGCCGCTGATGCACGCGGTGCGGGGCGGGGTGGTGGACATGATCTCGTTTCTGCTCGGAGCTGGGGCCGGGGTCTCCGTGGCTGGTGTTGGCGGCAAGACGCCGCTACATGTAGCGCTGGAGAATGGATCGGGGTTGGCGGACAGCAAGGTGCTTGAGGTGCTCATCGAGGGCGGGGCTGACTTTGATGCGGCCGACGACAAGGGCGTGGTGCCTTCTGCGTTTCGGGTTGTCCAGCGCCTCAACCGGGTGGCGCTGGTACTTGAGGACCGGCGGGCGGTGGCGGCAGAAGAGGCGGCGCGGGTCGAGGCACTGGAGGAGCGGCGGCGGCGGCGGATCGAGCAGCAGGCGCTTGTCAATGCGAGCACACGTGCGGCGCTGGGCCGGGCACGTGCACAGGCCCAGAAGGAGGCTGATGCGAGAAACGCGGCCAAGCGAGTGGTCGAGCTCTCGATGGACGACATGCTTGCCAAGGAGATGACGCTCGGCTCGCTGTACGCTGACTTGCCGGCGGCGTATGTGCCGGCGTCGGGCCGCAAGAAGCGGCGCGGGAAGAAGAGCCAGCGCGGGCGCGGGCGGGGATCACCGGGCAAGCGGCGTTGAGGTGAGGACAGCGACTGGTTTTACTCATCAATGGGGACGGGCTCGTCGCCTGAGAGGGTGGGCGCCGCCATGCGGGCAGCGAGGACAACCGAGTGGCCGGTGCCAACGGAACAGTCGAGAGCGTAGAGGTTCGGCGGGAGCGGGACGCGGACCGGGTTGCGCTGGAAGACATCGTCAGTGAGGGTATCGCAGTTGGAGAGCGAGAGCGGGGTAAAGCCGAGGCGGCCACCATAGCCCCAGCCGGTAGCCCAGACGGCGCCGCGTTTGACGGCCATGGAGTGCCACTGTGAGCCGTCGACGAGCGGAAAGTGAGAGGCCGGCGGGGTCCGGCGGCCAGGCTGCGGTTTGGGCGCATCGGTGTTGCGGGCGACGACAGCGGCGCGGGGGAGACAAACGCCCTTGAACGGGCCTGCACCGCCGCCGACAACCGGGATGGTCTCCTCGTCTTCCGAGTCCGAGTCCGAGTCGAGGTCGGGCGCAAACGGCGACGGATCGTCGAGCCAGTCATCGTCCGACTCGGACGAGCCGAGCAGGTCCTCAGCAGCGAGCTGGGCGAGGACGGCGACGTCACCGGCGACTACGGGCCCGGCGTCTGGCAGCCGGGCGGTATATGGCGCCGGACGCGCGAGCGGCTTGCGAGGAGTGGCGCAGTGCGGGAGCTTGAACCGAGTGAACATGCGTTGGGTCTGGAGCCGGCCCGAGCCGAGCTGGCCGTCTGTTCCGTGGCCGGTGGCAAAGACCACGGTCCGCGGGGCGTGCTTGGGCTTGGACGAGCCGCGCTTGCGCGATGCGAGGCCGGCAACAAAAGATGTGTAGTGACCGGCGTGAATCGACGACGGGAGGAAGGTGTAGCCCGGGGGGAGGCAGACGTTGAGGTCGACGAGCTGCGGCTTGCGGATAAAGCCCGCCGGCACGCCGCCGAGCGCACCGTAGCGGTTCGAGCCCCAGCCCACGACAAAGCCCTCTTCGAGGAGCACCAGCGAGTGTTGCCGGCCAGCGGCAATCTGGACCACCTTGTGGTTCCGGAGGACCTTGACCAGCCGCGGCTGCGAGCGGGCGCGCGAGTCGCCGAGCCCGAGCTGACATGCCTTGTTCCAGCCAAACGAGTAGACGCGACCGGTGATGTCGAGGGCAAGTACGTGCCAGCCGCCGCAAACGACGTCGACAATGTCGACCGACGCCAGGCCCTGGACAAGTGTCGGAAGGCAGAGCTTGGTCCTCCGGACCTCGCCGGTGTACGAGTATCGCTGCAGAGTGCCCATCATGTATAGCCGACCAGGCTCCGAGACGGCGAGCGTGACCTGGGCACCTGCGGCAATCTTGACAATGCGGACACCATCCAGCGCAGCGACTCTCCGCGGCTGCGGCGAGGACAGAGTGTCGCCATGACCAAGCTGGCCAGAGCGGCCACAGCCAAAGGTGTACACCTCACCAGCGTCTGAGAGGAGCACTGTATGCGCATCGCCGGCGACTGCCGAGATGACGTTGAGGCCAGGCGGGAGCTCGAGCTCTGTAAAGGTATCAAGTGTAGCAGGAGGCTCATCATGATGGCGAGAGGCCGAGCTCGTACCGCCTCCGCTGCTCGAACCGAGTCCACCATCATGACCAAGGCCCCCGTGGCTCTTGTGGCCACCAAGACGGCCTGTGCTTCTCTCGCCTGTTGCCAAAGTCACGTCCGTCTCGAACGCTTCCACATACTCTTCAGGCGAGAGGCCAAGCTGACCCCAGTAGTTGTGCCCGCACACAAGCACCGCGTTACCAGACATGTGTATGTGTGTCGGATGTGTGTATACGTGTATGTGTGTGTGTGTGTGTGTGTGTATGTGTGTATGTGTGTGGGTGTAGGCAGAGAGCTGTGTATGTGCCTGTGACTTGGCGTCGGCCTGTGGTGTGTCTCGGGGGTGCTTGTGGTCGCTTTGTTGGCCAAAATGACGCTGCGTTGGGTTCGCTCGGTCGATGATGACGTTATTGGTGCGAGACCTGCTGTGGTGTTTGGTCTGATCCGGCATCGACTTGCTGTGGTGTTTGGTCTGATCCGGCGTGGACTTGCTGTGGTGTTTGGTGTGATCGGGCATCGACTAGCTGTGGTGTTTGGTGTGATCGGGCATCGACTAGCTGTGGTGTTTGGTGTGATCGGGCATCGACTTGCTGTGGTGTTTGGTCTGATCGGGCATCGACTTGCTGTGGTGTTTGGTGTGATCGGGCATCGACTTGCTGTGGTGTTTGGTGTGATCGGGCATCGACTTGCTGTGGTGTTTGGTGTGATCGGGCATCGACTTGCTGTAGTGTTTGGTCTGATCGGACGTCGACTTGCTGTGGTGTTTGGTCTGATCCGGTGTCGACTTGCTGTGGTGTTTGGTCTGATCGGACGTCGACTTGCTGTGGTGTTTGGTCTGATCCGGTGTCGACAAAGTATGATGCTCGACCAGTTGTAGTGCTCGATTCGGTTGGTGCCCGGTTCGGTTGGTAGTTGGCGGTTTATGTCGAGCGATCAGCTGCAGTGCAGACGGCTCAGCCTCCGAAGAGCAATCGATATCAGGCAGGCAGGTTCGGAGCCTTGCCGCGTGAGACAATGACGGCGGCACCGGCAGGGAGGGCAGCGGCGGCAGCAATGTCGACGATCTCGGCGCCGTCGACGTCAAAGATGCGGGTAAACTTGGACTTGCCGCGGAGGTTGTACTTTTGGTTGATAGCCTTGAGTAGGCGGGTCAGGTTGAGCTTGGCGCCCGGAACCTTGATCAACTTTTCGTTCCGCTGGTCACCGAGCGGCTGGATGGCGAGGACAACGGCGTCGGCTGAGGCCTCGCGCTCCGACTCGACGGTGCCCTGCAGATCCTTGAACTTGCGCGGCTTGTCGCGGTACTTGCGGACCTTGGGAGTGGCCCACGCCGCAGCCTCGGCCTCAGCGTTGATTGCGGCCAGTGCTTCGGCCTCACGCCGCGCTGCCGCGGCGGCAGTCGATCGGCGCGGTGCCACGACTTGGACCGCCGGATTGCGGGCGCGGGCGCCGCGGGCCATGTACCGGCGCTCCTCGGCCTCGAGCGCGTCGTACTCACGCATCCGCTCCTCGTCTGCCAGCAGAGCCTCCATGGCCGCATGCAGCGCTGTCTCGGAGACAATCCTCTCCTCAAACCCGTACCACCGCTCGTCAAAGCCGCCGATGGAGAGCAAGAAGCCGCTGTCGGCAAGCTCGATGACCTCAAGCGGATCGCCGGCTTCAAACTCATCGTCCGGCCGCACCAGCGTCACCAGCTCGTGGCCGTACACCGCGTTGAATGCCTCCAAATCAAGCACACACTCGGCCGACTTGCCGTGATTCTTCATCTCACACACGAGCCCATCGTCGTGGCCATACGCATCGGCCGCCGTCTCGAGCCGGTTGAGCGGACAGGGCGCAGCGAGCGAGTACTCGACCGAGAGACCGCCTTCACCACCATACTCTGCCGCCAGCAAGCGAGCAAGTAGCTCATCGTTCGACGTGTCCACCTCTGTAGGCGGTGGTGTGACTTGATGCGACATGGCTTTCCCCCAAGTTGGGTCTGTGACTCTTGCCTCACTGCCTCTACCTGAGTCGTCAGATGGCTTTCGTTCTGTAAATGAGAAGGCAATGGAGCTGTTCGATGATGTTCCATTTCACTCGGCGCCGCATATGCAGCACCATTCGCCAACGCTATGGTTGGCATGACCAATACTGACGTAAATTGGCTGATATTCGAGGAGGGGGGAAGGGGGGGGGGGGGGGGGGGGGGTGGCAAACGATTTCGCTAGCGGCTGGCGAATCGTTGATGTGCGCGTCGGGTGGCAGCAGCAGCGTTGGTCTGCGGCCACGCACCCCGCTCTCTCTCTCTCTCCCCTCCCTTCCCCCACCTCGCCGTAGCCCCTCGTAGGCGCGGTTACAGCCTCTCTCGACAAAGCGGGAGAGGAGGAAGAAGAGGCTTTTTCAAGGGTGATACCATGGACAAGTACAACGGGTGGATAGAGCCATGGAGGGTGACACGGTTGGAGCGTGTACTCTGTGTCTGGGTCAACGAGCGGCTGGGAACAAGGTGTGCGCGGGTGGGGAACCTCTCGTCGGACTTTAGCGACTCTCTCGCACTGGCGCACCTCATCAACGTTGTCTTTGAGCTGGATGTCTTCAATGCGTACCATGGCGGTGGCGTGGTTCTCGCGCGGCCACTCAACCCGACCGACGTCCTGTACAACGCCCGCATCCTGCTCGACGTGCTCAAAGCCCGCGAGCTCAAGGTTATGTGCCACGCCATGGACATCGAGGCCGGCGACCGTGAGCGCATTGTCTGGCTCATCCTCCAGATTGCGCAGTACTACTACGCGCACAACATGGGCGTCATTTTCCCGGCGCTACTGGCGGACCCGGCTGAGTCGCCGGCGACGCTCAAGATCGAGAGCGTGGCGCTCCATGGGCTGAGCAACGAGCTCCTGACCCGACTGGACGAGTGCCCGCGGGACAAGCGGCCGCGCGGAATCCACGTCCCGAGCATCCGTAACTTTGCCAACGGATGGGAAGAGCCGGTGACGCTGCTGTCGCTGATGTGGGCGCTGGCACCGGACGCCTTTGACATTCCAGCCATTCTCTCGCTCGACAACCCCAAGGAGCAGTTCCGCGCCATCCTTAACACGGCTTACGGAGCCGACGTCTGCCTGTCGCGTTTTCTCGTCGCGGAGGACTTTGACAAGGTGGAGGAGGTCTCGCTGGCCATGTTTGCGGCGGAGATGTGTCTCAAGGCGCGGCGCGACCCACGGTTTCGCATCTTTGTGCCTGGCGGGGCCAAGAGCGGCGAGGGCGCTGCCGGCAGCGAGAGCGCGACGGCCAAGGCGTCACTTGAAGAGTACGTAGTGACGCTGCAAATGGAAGTCGAGTCGCTCCGCGACCGCGTCCAGCAGCTGCAAGCCAATGAGGCTGCGCTGCAGGTCGAGATCTACGACACGTCGGCCAGGGTCGCGCCGCTCTCGTCGCAGCTGGAGGAGCAAGAGGCGCTCATTCTCCAGCTTCGCGAGCAGCTGGCGCAGGAGCGGTCGCGGCTGGTCCTTGTGGAGAAGCGCAAGGCCGAGGTTCTCGCGCGGGCTCAGGAGGCGGTTACGCGATCCAAGGCCGAGCGCGACGCCGCAGATGCGCGGTTCAAGCGGGCGCTCGACGCCTCGCAGGAGCTCTCCAAGAAGTTCAAGCGGATGAAGCTGCAGATGGAGCTTCGCGCCAAGCAGCAAGAGGAGTCGACGCGGGCGAACCAGGGCGTTGTCCCGCCAGGCTCGACTGCGTTCAACTCGCCCGAGTACGAGAAGATGCGCGACCAGCTAGCGGACTCGATGGATCCAGCGGTTGTGGGACCCAACCCGGTAGTCATCATGTTTACCGACATCCAAGGCTCGACTTCGCTCTGGGAGCGCGACGCCGAGGCCATGGCCAAGGCGCTCACCGTCCACAATAACGTGTTCCGGGCTTTTCTTCCGCGGATGCGCGGGTACGAGGTTAAGACCGAGGGTGACGCCTTTATGGTTGCCTTTGAGTCGCCCATCGACGCTATTGTGTGTGCGCTGACGCTGCAGAAAGAGCTGATGCGATGCGAGTGGCCGCCGTCAATCCTCGACTCACCCACCACTTCGGAGGTCCGTGACCGGTTCGGCAACATCATTTGGCGCGGACTGCGTGTTCGCATGGCGCTCCACTACGGCACGCCGGAGCTCCGCATGGACCCGCTCACCGGGCGCATGGACTACTTTGGCCCGATGGTCAACCGCGCTGCGCGAGTCGAGGGTGTGGCCAAGGGCGGACAGGTTGTTGTCTCGGAGCCGTTCTACCACCACGTCAAGGACCTGCTGCCGACCATGCGCGGCTCAGCGCCGCCGGACGCCAAGTATCTCGGCGAGTTCACCTTTAAGGGCATCGCCGAGTCGATGAAGTGTTATGAGATTCGCGACCCGATGCTCAAGGAGCGGGTCTTTCTTGACAACAAGAAAAAAGCGCCCCCCAAACCGCCCGGTGCGGCCGATGCACCCGGTGAAGGCGGCGAGGCGGGCACCAGCGACGCGGCAGTCGAGCAGAGTGCCATCAAAGATGCGGCGGCGAGCCTCGACGACGAGGTGCGCGCGCTCGAGAAAGAGAACGCGGCGCTCATGGACGAGCTCCGCGACATTGGCAAAAACATCGACGAGTCCGAGGCACACGCTGCCCAGCTCGCGTCAGAGCTCGAGGCCGCAGACCGCGGCTTTGACGAGCTTAGCGCCGACCAAGGCCGGGCAAGGCTCGACATGCTTGTCGCCAAGTTTCACGAGCTGGAGAAGACGGTCAAGGGCCTCTCGGACAAGGTGGTGCCGGCCATGTCGACGTCGGATCACCTGAGCGAGCAGCTGGGCGCGGTCCTCTCGCGGGTCCACATGTTACAGTCGCAGGCGGTTTTCACCTCGGGCGTCTCGCAAAAGTCAGTCACTGCTGCCTCGGAGCTGATGCAGACCTTTCTGGAGAGCAAGGAAGAGGCGATCGAGGCATCCAAGGCCGCACTTGCCCGCAAAACCAGCCAGGTCGACAAGCTCAAGAAGCGTGTTCGCCAGCTCCTCCGCGACGTTGCCTACCTCAAAGCCGTCAACTCGGGAACGGTGGCGCGGCGGGCGAGCGAGTCTGGGATACGCAGTGGGAGCCCAAAGGGCTCGCCGTCGGGCTCGCCGGGCGGGCGACGTATGTCGACGAGCAGCGGGCCGGGACGGCGCCGCGGTGAGCGTCGGCTCTCGATCGGCTCTGCCATGCAATTGCCGCGGACCATCAACGAGTACCCAGCACACTCGCCGCGGTCAAGCACCCCGATACTTGGCCACACACCGCGATCAATAAGCGCAGGGGCGTCACCACAGACAAGTCCACAACCCAGTCCGCGGGCCTCATCGCGCACATCAGCCGGCTCTATCCACGACGGGACGAAGCCGTTCCTTGGGCGCGAAGGGCGCACCGGCGGCGGCAAGGCAGGGCCCAAAGCGACGCAAAAGGTGTCGCGGACACCAAAGCGCAAGGATGGACGTCCACGGGCCCGCAACGCAAATCGGGTCGACGAAAAGGCGCTGCGCGAGCGCGAGCGGAAGCGGATCCGCGTGCGGGAGCGCAGGCGGCTCGAGGGCGAGGGCAAAAGCGAGGTCGGGCACGGCCGCGGGCGCGGGCGCGGACGGGAGGTCCGAAAGCGGCGGCGGCCGCACCATGTCACGCCGATCCCAGCCATCGGACGGCAGTTCTCGAACGAGATCGCGCCAGAGCTGACGACGTCGCCACTGCTGGCATCGGCGGCAGAGCCCGGAGCGATTCCGCGACGACGGCGGGTTCGGGTCAAAAAGCAGTCGACGTCGACTGCTGACGACCGGCATCCGCTCGCCAGGTCGGTGACCAAGTCGGCGTCAATGACATCGTCAGTTGAGCTGCCGACGCCGAACATCATGGTTACCATCGAGGGCGTCGGATCAACCTCGCCTGGGCGGCCGAGCGGCGGCAGCTTGTCGTCGTCGGACATGTACTCGGACTACTACCAGTACTCGGACGAGGGAAAAGAGGCAGCCGCCGACAAGGTACACAGGCGGCGGCGGCGCAAACTGCGGCGGCGGAAGAAGCGGCGAAAGTACGTGGCAGCTGTCGGCGACATGCCCGACGTCCAGATTGAGCCATACTCGGGAACGTTCAACTCGATGCCCGACTCGCGGCTCTCGGCCACCACTTCGGAGCAGATGGCGTCGGACATGGTAGCCTCGCTCGGCAACGAGTTTGAGAACACGGAGCCATCAAGCCCGGATCAGGGCACGATGTCCAAGGCGTGCTCCGAGTCGGGCCTGACGTCATCGTCGTCGAGCGCATCGTCGAGCGTGTCATCAAGCGCGTCGTTGAGCTCGTCGGCAACGCGATCAGACACCTCGTTTCACGCGCGAGCGATGGACTCACCGCAGATTATCATCGAGCCCGGATCGATGGCGTCAGACTCGTCCCTGGTGTTCAGGACACCAGCTGCTGCAACAAGTGCGGGTACCGGGTCCGACTCGTGTTCGTGCTCGTCCGACGGGCATGGATGGAGCCAGGACGAGTCGTGCTCGTCGGACGGCTCGGTCCGTGTCACGCGCGGCGCGATCTCGTCGGACAAGTCAACGCCCAACTCACCGCCCGCCTCATCCATTTCATCAATCCAAGGACCAGGCTTCCTCGACATGGACGACTTTGACTCTGACGACTTTGACGTTTCGTGCTCGGTCGATTCGAGCGGATCCGACTCGTCGATCGACATCGAGTGAGCAGGTAAAACAACCGTGGACGGGAGCTTGTCCGGGCAGGTAGCCGAAGCCGCAGTGGCAGAGAGAGGCGGGCGCTGTGGGCAGACACGTGACTCTCCATAATTGGGCACCCAGGCAGGTGGCGGAAAGAAGGCGGAGGGCAGTGGCGTCGAGTGTGGCAGTTGTGTTGAGAACGGTATGGCTGGGTGGTATGGGCGGTATGTGCTCGGCATGCTGACGGTGGCGCACGTGTCGTACATTGCTTGCCAGTTCATCCTGGTGTATGTCAAGGATCAGGCACAGGAAGCGCTGGGCTTTAGTGATGCGCAATATGGACTGCTTGTGGGCTACGCGTTCTCGCTTGTCTTTGTTGTCGCCGGCATTCCTATCGGATACGTGTCGGATGTGCATTCGCGGAAGGTTGTCATTGTGGCGTCGATCAGTCTGTGGTCGGTGGCGACGGTGGCCCAGGGCGCGGCGCCATCGTTTGCGCTCCTTCTCCTGGCGCGGATGCTGCAGGGCGTGGGCTCGGCAGGTTTCAATGCCGCCTCGTTTGCGCTCATCGCAGACTACTTTGCAGCCAGTCAGCGATCGGTGGCCAACTCGGTCTTCTCGACGTCGGTGTACATGGGCGGCGGCATTACGGCGGCGCTCGGCTCACTGCTCGCCGACTCGTCGTTTGGCTGGCGCTGGACGGTGGCGGCATTTGGCTTTGCCGGCATTGGTATTGCGCTGGCGGTGGCGACCACGGTCCGCGAGCGGCGACCCGAAGCAAGAGGGCAGACAGTGGCCGATGTGGCCGGGGACGAGGTGGCGATGGACAGCGCGCCGAGGTCACGGTCGAGTGACGATGACGGCGAGAGTGTTGTGGCACGCAGGTCGGCTGCCAGTGCGCTGCTTGGGCCAGGAGCAGGGGGCAGCAGCGCTGGCGGCGGCGGCGGCGGTGGCGGCGAGGGAATCGAGGCTGTGGCTCGACCGGCAGGCGCGTGGGCGCGGGTTGTGCGAGCACTGAGCAACTATGGCGCGATTTTGGTGCACATGACGGCGATGCCATCGATGGTCCGGCTGGTGCTGGCGTCTGGAGTGCGAATTATGGGCGGGCTTATTTTCGGCTCGTTCATTCCGTCGTTCTTCCGTAAGACGTATCCGAGCTACTCGTCAACGACGGCTGTCGGGTACGGGGTGGTGGTGTTTGTGGTGGGAACGAGCGCGGCTTTGCTCGGTGGATGGTTGACATCTGCGTCGCTTAAGCGGTCTGTCCGGGCGCCGCTGTATGTGTCTGCCGGTGGGCCGTTGCTCTCGATCCCGTGTGTGGCGATCCTTGTGCTCTCGCGCGACATCATGGGTAGCGAGAGCGGCGGGATTGTGCTTGGTTTTATTGCCCTCTCGCTGGCGTACTTGACCGCTGAGGTTTGGCTCGGGCCGGCGTTTATGGCAGCGCAGCAACTGTTTCCGGCGTCGCAACGTGGCGGTGGGCTCGCGCTCTTCTTTGCCGGCTGCGCGTTTGTGGACGGGGCTGGCCCGGTTTTTGTTGGTCTCCTCCTCGACCACTACGCGGCGCGACCGGCGGTCGAGGGCGACGATCTTGGATACCACGCGTCGTCGGCCAAGTACATAATTGGCGCCGCTGTGTGCATTTGCTACGCGCTCTCTGCGGTCGGCTTTCTTCTCGCGGCGGTGGCGTATCCCGACGACATTGTCCGCGTTGCGCGAGTGGAGACGTCGCGCGTTCCGCTGGCGACATGGCGCGGGTTGTCGACCAAGCGCAAGATGCAACACATGGTCGGAGGCAGCGGACTTGCGATCTGGGTTGTGGTTGTGGTAGTGCTCTCGTTTCTGCGGCTGTGATTTTTAAAATGGTGGCGACATGGCGATGTGCGAGTACGACCGGGTGGACGAGGCTGGAGGCGAGTCCGAGTCCGGGCGAACGGGTGGTGACACCCAACTCCTTCGCGTCACTCGAGAGCAGCGACCATGCCCACAAGCAGCCGGCAGAGCCGCCACAGCGGCAGCAGCAGTCGGCATGGGCACAGCAGCCACAGTCGGAGAGGGCATGGCAACGGACGCGGGCATGGGCACAAGCGCAAACGCAAGCGGAGGCGGTCGGGCTCGAGGCTGGGCTCGGGCTCGCGCTCGGGCTCGGGCTCGGGCTCGGGCTCGGGCTTGGGCAAGCGGCGGAAGCGAGCCAAGACCAAGGCCAAGGAGGAGGAGGATGAGGAGGAGGAGGCGGGGAGAGAGGGGGTGACCGAAAGCGGAAAGGGAAGACATGGCGGTGGCAACGCAGTGACTGGTGGTGAGACTGGGACGGGAGCGCCGCCGGCAGGGACGGAGTCGGGGTCGGGGTCGGGGTCGTCGTCTCTGGCCGAGTTTCGGTCGCGTGCCAAGGGCGGGCATGGGGACAGCAGACAGAGTGGAGGAAGGGGAGTGGCGGATGCCGGGGCAGATGTTGGGAGCGGCGGCGGCGGTGGTGGGAGCGGAGGCATGCTGTCTGCGGGCGGGAAGCAGCTCTCGTTGCTCGAGGAGACAGTTCATCTGCGGCGGGCGGGAAAGCTGAAGGAGCTGACCAAGGAGGAGCTGGAGGCCGAGGAGGAGCGCAAGCTGGTGGAGGCGTTTGCATCGACCAAGGCACTTGTGTCTGCGGCTGAGCTGGCGGAGGGCGGGCGGACGGTGCAGCCGCTGCCGACGACGTGGCGGCCGCCGCGGTGGGCGCAGGAGCGCGGGCCGGAGGTGTACGAGGCGCTGCGCACCAAGTACAACATCGAAATCAAAGGTGAAGATGTGCCAAAGTGCCTGACGACGTTTGAGGCGATGAAGCTTCCGCCGGCGATTGTCAAGCATCTGGTAGGCAAATCGATTCTCAAGCCGACGCCTATCCAGATGCAGGGCCTGCCGACGATTCTCTCTGGGCGCGACATGATCGGGATCTCGTACACTGGGTCTGGCAAGACGCTTGTTTTCACGCTTCCACTCGTGCTTGTGGCACTGGAGGAGGAGCTGCGGATGCCGCTGATGCCGGGTGAGGGGCCTGTGGGGGTGGTGCTCTCTCCGTCGCGCGAGCTCGCGCGACAGACGCACCAGATTGCGTGCGACCTGGCGGCAGCGCTGCACGCGGATGGCGGGCCCAAGCTGCGGATGGCACTGTGTATGGGTGGCGTGCCGGTGAAGCCGGCGTTGGAGATGGTGGACGAGGGCGTGCACGCTGTTGTGGCGACGCCTGGGCGTCTGCTGGACATGCTCAAGAAGGAGCAGTTTTCTCTGCGGCTTGTGCGGTACATGTGTCTGGATGAGGCCGATCGGCTCATATCGGATGGGTTTGAGGAGGACATGCGCGACATTCTCTCGTTCACCGGCAAGGCACCGCGTCAAACGGTCCTGTTCTCTGCAACAATGGCGCAGTCGATCAAGGAGTTTGGTGCGACGGCGCTGGTTTCGCCGGTGGTGGTGACTGTGGGGCGAGCCGGAGCAGCGTCGCTGGACATTATTATTGAGGTTGAGTACGTGGCGACGGAGGAGGAGAAGATGTCGTACGTGGTCAACTCGGTTCTGGACAAGACGGAACCACCGGTGATTGTGTTCTCATCGTCGTCGTCTGTTGTCGATGCGCTCCTCGAGTACATGATGATCAAGGGTGTGGCGGCGACAGCGATCCACGGCGGGCTTTCACAGTCTGAACGGCTGCAAGCGATGGACGACTTTAAGAACGGCAAGGCCGACGTGCTCATCGCGTCGGACGTGGCGGCCAAAGGTATCGACTTTCCGCACATTGCGCACGTCATCTGCGTCGACTTGCCTAAAGAGTTTGAGATGCTCCCACATCGGCTCGGACGGACAGGCCGTGCCGGCAACGTGGGCGTGGCGTCGGTTCTCATCACGCCTCGCGACGACCCGATCATGCTCTCAGACTTGCGGGCCATGCTCATCGAGGCCAAGCAGCGCGTTCCGCCGTACCTCCTCCGCGATGCAACGGCGTCGGCATCGGCCACCGAGGCTTGTCCCATGTGTGGCGGACTCGGCCACCGCATTGCCGACTGTCCACTTGTCACACAGCGGGCTCGAACCAACGCCCGCTCGCGGATGCGGCGTGGCGACGAGCATCGCGTGGGCGACTATTGAGCGACGGGCAGCAGAGCTGTAGTCGTACGGTTGGGATGAACAAAGGATACGATCTCGTATCTGCACGTGCAATGTATACATGAATGTGTATGGCTGTTGTGTAGGAGGGATGCGCTGTGTGGTGCGAGTGGTGCGTGCGGTGCGTGCGGTAGATGGGCGGATGCGGGCCATGAGGCCGGGGCTTGGGAGTGGCGTGTCTATACGCACGTCAGGCAGCTGAGCATGAGCGAGATGGCTCAACAGTCCTCTTTGCAAGGCGTGCGCTTTGGAGGCAGGCATTGCATCAGAGCACACCCCTGTCTAAGACGCAACCATGCTCGTTGGTCTTCCCACAGAGCTGCTCCATCTGATTGGCTACGGTTTGCGTGTTCTGTCGGCGGCCGATGTTGTGCGGTTGGCAGGGACGTGCAAGCGGTTGCAAACGGGGCTGCTGGGCTCGGCACACGGAAAGAAGCTGGCTCAGGCATTGCTCGGATTTGATGCTTGCGTGGAGAAGCGTCTTTGGAAGGGGGCACTGGTAGCGCTTGCACAGGTACCGGCACGCGAACAGGCCAGCTTTGTCGGCGATGGCGGCGTCACGTCGCGGATGGCGGTTGTCGTCGCGGCACGGGAGCGGGACGAGGACTGGCTGAGTCTGGTCTCTGCGATGGCCGCAACGGGCGCGATGATCACGGTGCCGGATGGCGCGCAGCTGCTGGAGATGCAGTGGGTCGGCGGTCCTCTGAAAATTGGCGCGGTAGCGGTGATTGTGTGCGGCGGCGAGCAGCTTGTGGGGCTGGCAAGTGAGCTGCTTGCGGTGATAAGTGGAGTGAGCCGTGCAGGCGTGCTTTGTGCTGCTGCGGCGAAAGGCTTCGTCCGGCTGATTAGCCAGCTGCTGCGGATTGATGATGGCACAGACGTTGTCCAGGAAGGCCAGTGTGCTCTAGCATGGGCATGTGCGTACGGACACGACGCGGCGGTGAGGGTGCTCCTCAATGACAGGCGGATCAACCTGTCTGCATACGACAACGCTGCATTCAGGTACGCCGCAGCGCATGGGCAGACTGCGGTGCTGGCTCTCTTGCTCAAGGATCGGCGAGTTGACCCGTCTGCCGGTAACAACGAAGCACTGAGGGTGGCGATCAAGGGGAGTCACCGCGACGTGGTGGCACTGCTTGCGGGCGACGCACGGGTCGATCCGTCAGTCAGCCACAACCATGCCATTCGCTGGGCAAGCCGCAACGGATATGACGACATTGTGATGACACTCCTCGCTGATGACCGGGTAGATCCTGGCAGCTACGGAAACCAGGCGATCCAGTCGGCATGCGACAAGGGCCACACACGCGTGGTCGAGCTCCTTCTCGCCGACGACCGAGTTGATCCTGCCGCGGCCGACAACTACGCATTTCGTGCAGCATGCGATCGTGGGTGGGCCGACGTGGTGTCACTGCTACTCGGCGACCGGCGAGTCGACCCCACTGACAAGGACAACTACGGGCTCCGATTCGCAGCGCGGTATGGACACACACAGGTTGTTTCACAATTGCTGGCTGACAGACGGATCAACGCTGCAGCAGAGAACAACTATGCGCTTTGCTGGGCATCGCGTGCTGGGCACGTCGAGGTGGTCAAGATCTTGCTTGGCCAGGCGTGTGTCGATCCGACGGCCAACAACTACGAGGCCGTCAGGCAGGCATCGGAGAACGAATTCACCAACGTCGTTTCGGTTCTCTGTGCAGATGCTCGCGTCCAGCCGGAGGTGGTTGCGCGGTACTGGCGCATAAGAATGACGGAGGAGCGTGTAGGGCCAGCATGTCCGAAGTGAACGCGCTCGAGGCCTCGACGAGACCGCTGCCGCACACCGCGAGGAGAGCTTTGCGCCATAGGACTAGCGGCGTGCTTGGAAGATAGCGATGGCCTTGTCGACGTGCTGGAGGATGTGAGCGCGGTCGGCCTGGAGGGCGGCGATGTTGCCCGTGGCGAGTGACGTGGTCCTCGATGTCGGCGAGCTTGGCCTTGAGCTCGCCCACGCGAGTGATGTCGCCGCCGGTAGCGATGGTCTGACGAAGGTAGGAGGCCACTGGCTCAGAAGCAGTACCATTACCGATGAGATCGTAGACTTTATTCATGGCCTTGCTGTTCTCGCTTTCCGCCTCGTTGCGCAAGGTGGCGATTGCCTCGATGAGAGCGACATGAATGACGGGCATATTGAACATGGGCTCAACAGCGTTGGCGTCTACACCGGCGGGTGACAAACTCGCAGACGATGTTAGCCGAGTTCGGAATGGTTGGCAAGACGCGGAGGGCGACAAAGAGGGCGTGAGTGGCATTGTTGATGCCGTTGGTGAGCTTGGTGGCGCCGTCAGTCGATCATGAGGCCGACAAAAACCGGCACAGGGGATGTGGGCGAGTGCTTGTTGTCATCATCGAGATCGTAGAGGCGCACGCCGCTGGTGACAAGCGTGTTGAGCGCGTCCAGGGAGAGCGCGTTGCAGCGGGTCAGGCGATGCAGCGGTTGGGGCCACATGGGACTGAGCAACGCCAAGCAGAGAGTGGGCGTGCTGCGATGCCGGGAGTTCCGGTTGGGTGATGGTAGGGCGTGCGCGAGGTAAGTCAAGGGTAGCCTTGGAGCAGGTGCGCGAGGAAAGGGCTGTGCCGCGATCTGGCGACGACGAGTCTGGGCAGGGGTGATGGCATGTGCTCGCTGTCGTCGAGCAACCGGATGTCCTGTTCGTCTGGGCGGAGCAGGGCAGGGCTTTGTTGCTTCCGCTGTTAGCTTGATGGCGAGCTGGAACCGCAGCGCGTTATCGAGGAAGAACGACGACGTTGCATCGACCGCCAGGGCGGTGGTGCCCAGGCTGCCGGCGGCTGCGGTGGACGGAGCGTGGTCGGCTTGTTGTTTGCCCAGCCCATGAACGGCGTGGCAGTCGTCATGCCAGCGGTAACGTCGGCGAGGAGGACGATGGGGCTGGTGTCAGCAGCACTCGGCTGCGAGCGAGGGTGCGATCCGTGGCAGTCGGCATGCGCAACACCTCGATGGTAGAGATCAGATTGCGGCCGCGGGGCGTGAGTCAGGGTGCGTGCGCGGGTGGCGGCGACGAGGACAACGGGCGAGGGACATGGGTGGGGTTGGCAAGGTACGTCGCTGTCAGGTGGAGGTAGCACGACGCCCAGCAAAGAAGAGCTGGCCGGCTGACCTCGCTTGATCGAGGACGATCCGGAGGACTGGCTGAGGCGGTGGGAAGGTGTGGGGGAGATCGGGATAAAGGAGGACAGAGTGTTGATGTGCGATGAGGGGTGATTGGATTGCAGAGGACGGCGCGGGTGGGCATGGATGGTTGAGCAGCAGCAGGTGATGGGGTTGATGGGGTTGATGGGATGGATGGTCGGGCGTGCTGGTTGCGGGAGAGCGATGACGGTTGTGTGGCGGATGTGCGAGGCATAGTTGTGCTCGGTGCATGTGTCTGGGTCTCATCTTCAGCAGCTGGAGGGAGCAGGCAGCGCCATCTGGCAATGTGTGGATGGCAGGTAGGTCGCGGACGACGGCCAGTGCATGTGGGTGTTTGGGCTGGGACTGGGATGGGTGGTGTGTGATGTTTGATGGCGGGGGGGTGGGTGGTGAGGTTTTGTGATCAGGTGAGAATTTGTGATCAACGGCTGGCTGGCTGGGGTTGGTGGGATGTGGCCATGGCGAGCAAGTGGATGTGGATGCATGCGCATGTGTGTGTGTGTGGGGGGGATGTGTATGGTGATGATGATGGTGGTGGTCGGCTTCGCGACGGCTGGCGAGTGATGGCAAGCGTGTCGAGGCTGGACGGGTGTGGTGCAATAACCATAATCACCCCCCAGACCCCGACCAACCAATTCCGACCAAGTGCGCCACCCCACCACCCCATCACCACCACCCACAATATGCATCCTCACAGCCACCACAAACCAAGTGGTTTGTCAATTTCTGTGGCCAAACTCGTGGTGGGGAGAGAACTGCTATCACAATGTGTGAAAACAGTCAACTTCTCCCCGGCACAGAGGCGGGCAACCCCTCACGAGCACTGGCGTGGGTCCGGGCTCTGGCTCTACGGCCAGGGCGCGGGCGCAGGCTGAAGCTAACAGCGGCAGCGCATGATACCAGCTAGAGACCGCGGCGACTTGGCAAGCAAGACGGCGCGGCATGGCGGGAGAGTGGGCTTGTTGAGTTGCACTGATGGCTCTTGCGAGCTAGGACAGGGCAAGTGGAGGAAGGAGCCGGTTGAGCGGAGTGGCCAGGTCAAGCTGGTGCTGGGCGAGGCCGGGAGACCCGGGGCGTTGGGCAGGGGGCGTCGGAGGAAGCTCCGGCGGGCTCTGTGATGCGCTTGAAGAAGACCGGGGCTGAAACGAACTGTGGTTGAGAGAGAGCCAGCAGGGAGGAGCGGGGTGCAGAGATGTGCGTCGTTTGTTTCTTGTCGAAAGAGTACTTGACTTGAGTCGTAAGAAGCAGTGCGTGAGGTGGATGTGATTTTGGAGGCTGGGGGATGGGGGGAGAGTGACCAAAATTTTTGGCACCCCCCCCTTTCCCCAAAATTCCACTTTTCGAACGATTTCTGACGCTCTGCGGAGCCGGGCAAGCGCCAGACACCGCAGACAAGGAGAGATACCTGGTTGATCCTGCCAGTGGTCATATGCTTGTCTCTAGGACTAAGCCATGCACGTATAAGTGTAAGCGATTTACAGTGAAACTGCGAATGGCTCATTAAATCAGTAATAGTCTCTTTGATGGAAGCCGCTACATGGATAACCGTAGAAAATCTAGAGCTAATACACGCCAAGGAGTCATGGCCTAGCATTTTTGCTGGGGCGTGCGGTATTTATTAGAGGCCAAGACGATGGCGCACTTGTGTGTCTTCTTTGGTGAGTCATGATAACTGTACGAATCGAGGGCTTGTTCGCAAGCGTCGATGGTTCATTCGAATTTCTGCCCTATCAACTTTCGATGGTAAGATAGAGGCTTACCATGGTGGTTACGGGTGACGGCGAATGGGGTTCTATTCCGGAGAGGGGGCCTGAGAAACGGCCACCACTTCCAAGGAAGGCAGCAGGCGCGCAAATTACCCAATGGCGACACGCCGAGGTAGTGACGAACAATAACGATGGGACCCCTTTGGGGCCCAATTGGAATGAGTACAAAGTACAAGCCTTAACGAGGAACAATTGGAGGGCAAGTCTGGTGCCAGCAGCCGCGGTAATTCCAGCTCCAATAGCGTATATTAAAGCTGTTGCGGTTAAAAGCTCGTAGTTGGATTTGAGTCTAGTTGCGGCCGGCTCAGGGCTTTGACTCTGGGGCGGACGTGTAGACTGTATGCGCGCGGGGAGGGCAGGGAATTTTCTCTGCTTTCTCGTGTGCTTTACTTGAACAAATTAGAGTGTTTAAAGCAGGCATTTTTGCCTTGAATACATTAGCATGGAATAACGATTTGACTGGAGCAGGCATGATGTTGTCTTGATGACTGCGCAGTAATGATGGATAGGGACGGTCGGGGACATTCGTATTGCTCCGTCAGAGGTGAAATTCTTAGATTGGAGGAAGACGAGCTGATGCGAAAGCCTTTGTCAAGGACGTTTTCATTGATCAAGAACGAAAGTTAGGGATCGAAGACGATCAGATACCGTCGTAGTCTTAACCATAAACGATGCCGACCAGGGATTGGGGAAGGCAGTAGACTTCTCACGACTTCCCCAGCACCTTATGAGAAATCTGAGTGTTTGGGTTCCGGGGGAGTATGGTCGCAAGGCTGAAACTTAAAGGAATTGACGGAAGGGCACCACCAGGAGTGGAGCCTGCGGCTTAATTTGACTCAACACGGGAAACTTACCAGGCCCAGACATAGCGAGGATTGACAGATTGAGAGCTCTTTCTTGATTCTATGGATGGTGGTGCATGGCCGTTCTTAGTTCGTGGAGTGATTTGTCTGCTTAATTGCGATAACGAACGAGACCTTGGGGGTTGCTGCGCGAGGGCGCTACTTGTTAGCGGCCCGTGCTCCTACTCCTACTGCTGCGTGTTGTAACCAGAGGAAGTTTGAGGCTATAACAGGTCTGTGATGCCCTTAGATGTCCTGGGCCGCACGCGCGCTACACTGGAGCAGGCAGCGAGTGGGGCTGCCGCCGCAAGGCGGGAGCTACCTGTGCCGGAAGGCACGGGTAATCTTGCAAACTGGTCCGTGATGGGGATAGATGTTTGTAATTTGGATCTTGAACGAGGAATTCCTAGTAAACGCGCGTCAACAACGCGCATTGACTACGTCCTGCCCTTTGTACACACCGCCCGTCGCTCCTACCGATTGAATGTCAAGGTGAGGGTTCTGGACTCTGCGCTCCTCTTGGGCAACTGGGGGGGAAGCGGGGAAGTTGACCAAATCTTGGCATTTAGAGGAAGGAGAAGTCGTAACAAGGTTTCCGTAGGTGAACCTGCGGAAGGATCATTACCAGCGATTTGAGGGGGGGGGGTTTTTGAGAGTAGCGTGCGCACTCGTGTGCTGCTCTCCAGCTCCTCCTCAGCACTTTTTAACAGATGTGAGGACGAGCCAGGTGACCTGAGTGAGTACACTACGAGTAGCCAGCGGCACGGTAGAGGAGGAGGTAAGACGCAGAGTTAACGAGCCATAACTTTCAACAACGGATATCTTGGTTCTCGCGACGATGAAGAACGCAGCAAAGCGCGATAGCTAGTGCAAAGTGCAAGGCCCAGTGAGTCATCGAGATTTTGAACGCAAATGGCGGCTAGGCGTGAGAGTCTAGCCATGTGTGGTCGAGTGACGGAGATTTTTTGCCCCCAGTAGTGGATGGGTGAGGTGCCGTGTCTGCTTTTCTTTTTTGTGAGCGGACTGGCGTTGAGGGAGATTGAGAGTTGTGGCGGAGTGAGGGAGGGTTGAGGGAGTAGTGGGTGTGTCCGAGATGAAGGGTGAGGTTGACGTTTGTTGTTTTTTGAGCTTAGTTGTGAGACAAGCTTTGAGAAGGAGCAAGCGGCTTTAGCATTCGTTCTCTCCCCACAGCAAACCCCCTCCGCCCCCATGCTAAACCCCCCCCAGGCACCATCGAACAAGTGTCCTCGGCTCAGACAAGGTTACCCGCTGGATTTAAGCATATTATTAAGCGGAGGAAAAGAAACTAACAAGGATCCCTCAGTAATGGCGAATGAAGCGGGGCAGAGTCCAAGCCTGGAACCGGTGGCAACAGCGGATTGTGGCTTTGAGGCTGGCGTTGCTGAGCGGCACGTGACCACCCCGGCACAAGTTCTTTGGAACAAGACATCAGAGAGGGTGAGAATCCCGTGGATGGGCGGGGAGGAGTGGCGATCAGGGGCCAGGCAAGCGAGTCGAGTTGTTTGGGAGTACAGCTCAAAGGCGGTGGTAAGGAGCATCGAAGACTAATATGAGCGAGAGACCGATAGCGGACAAGTACTGTGAAGGAAAGATGAAAAGGACCCTGAAAGAGAGTTAAAGGACTTGAAATTGTTGAAGGGAAGCGCTTGGTGGCGAGGAGCGGCCAGGCCTTGCGAGGCCTGGAGTTTAGCGCGTTGCGGGTGCGGGCTCTTGCGGCGAAGCGGCGAGCGGAACTCGACTGGTAGGTGGCCGGGCAACCGGGTGCTGGTACAGGGAGGTAGCTGGAGTCGTGGCCGGAAAGAGTGCGTGATGAAGAGAGGCAGTGCCGGGCCGCAGGGATGCGGCCGCAGAGTAGCAGAGGGCAGGGCATGGAGGGCGTTTGAGGGTAGCCAGGGCTACGGGCCTGGCCAGCGTCAAGCGGTGGTTCCATGGACTGGACTCTGCGAGTCTGGAGGCAGTGTCGAGCCCGTGGGGACTCGAGCGGGATCGGAGTTGTTTTTAAAGACGTCGAGCTCGAGCGAGACTGGCGCGCCATCAATCGACCCGTCTTGAAACACGGACCAAGGAGTCTATCATGCTTGCGAGTGAGCTAGTGGCAAACTAGGGCAGTGCGTAATGAAAGTGAAACCCGAGAAGTGCGAGTCGCTGCATCGGGCCCGGGCGTCCGGCGTTGTTCGCAACATTGAGGCGCGACGAGGGGAGCAGGCATGGTGGGACCCGAAAGGCGGTGATCTATGCTTGTGAAGGGCGAAGTCGGAGGAAACTCCGATGGAGGTCCGTCGCGGTTCTGACGTGCAAATCGATCGTTGATGTGAGCATAGGGCGAAAGACTCATCGAACCGCCTAGTAGCTGGTTCCTTCTGAAGTTTCCCTCAGGATAGCAGCGGCATTTTTCAGTTTGTCTGGTAAAGCTAATGATTAGAGGCTCGGGGGCGCAAGGCCCTTCACCTATTCTCAAACTTTAAATGGGCAAGGACGCTGGCGCACTTGTTTGGCGGCAGCGGGATGGAATGGGTAGCCGTTAGTGGGCCAGTTTGGTAAGCAGATCTGGCGATGCGGGATGAACCGAACGGCGGGTTAAAGTGCCTCAGTGGACGCTCATGTAGAACCCATGAAGGTGTTGGTTCATTAAGACAGCAGGACGGTGGTCATGGAAGTCGAAAGCCGCTAAGGAGTGTGTAACAACTCACCTGCCGAATGGCCTAGCCCTGAAAATGGATGGCGCTCAAGCGACTCACTTATACCCGGCCAACAACGCGGGCGTTGTTGAGTAAGAAGGCGTGGCGCTCGTGGAGAAGCTGTTACAGCCGTGAGGCGTAGTGGAACGGGCGGTAGTGCAGATCTTGGTGTGAGTAGCAAGTATTCAAGCGGAAGCCTTGAAGACCGATGTGGAGAAGGGTTCCTCGGAAGCGCATTGCGCCGAGGGTGAGGCGGACCTAAGGCTCTGCGGAGTTGCGAACGAGTGTCTTGCGGAAGCGAGGCTTGTCGAAAGGGAAGCAGGGAGAGTTCCTGCCCGCGCGCAGCGGAGGCCTCTTTTTAAGAGGGCGATCCCGCCGAGGGAGCCGGCAACGGAGTTTGAAAGACGTACCCTTTGCTGCCGATGGCGTGAGACCCGGGCAGAGATTTCTTCTCTGGTCAAGAGCCCTCAGCCCCGGAAACGGTTTGGCCGGAGAGGAGGGGTGATTGGGCTCGTGCAGGGGGAGAAGCGTTTCTTTCCCCCTCCGGGGAGCTCGCGACGTCCCTTGAAGAGGCAAAGGGTTTGAGGGCCTGGCAACAGAGCGCCTCGACCTGGGCGCGCGCCGTACCGATAACCGCAACAGGTCTCCAAGGTGAGGAGCCTCTGGTTGATAGAAGAATGTAGGCGAGGGAAGTCGGCAAACTGGATCCGTAACTTTGGAAAGGATTGGCTCTGCGGGTGCGCGGGAGGCATTCTGGGCTTGTTCTGGTAGGACTTTTTTGTCAGTCGTGAGTCGGGCTTGGCGCAAGCCGAGGGCGATTGATGAGCTGAGGAGGGCTCGGCCAGGGGTAGTTTAGAGTTTGTCCCCGCAATTTACTTGCACCAACGCAGAACTGGTACGGACAAGGGGAATCCGACTGTTTAATTAAAACAAAGCGAACCGATGGCCGGAAATGGTGTTGACGGTTCGTGATTTCTGCCCGGTGCTCTGAATGTCAATGTGAAGAGATTCAAGCAAGCGCGGGTTAACGGCGGGAGTAACTATGACTCTCTTAAGGTAGCCAAATGCCTCGTCATCTAATTAGTGACGCGCATGAATGGATTAACGAGATTCCCACTGTCCCCGTGTACTATCTAGCGAAACCACAGCCAAGGGAACGGGCTTGGCACAATCGGCGGGAAAGAAGACCCTGTTGAGCTTGACTCTATTCTGACTTTGTGAAATGATTCATCGGGTGTAGGATAGGTGGGAGGCGCTTGCGCCGGCCGTGAAATACCACCACCGGTGCCATCGTTTCGCTTATTCGGTGAGGTGTGGGCGGGCGCGGAAGCGACCCGTTCTTGAGCAAAGCAGTCAGCGCAAGCTGGTTGTTGACGCAGTCCGAAGACATAGTCAGGTGGGGAGTTTGGCTGGGGCGGCACACCTGTTAAAGGCTAACACAGGTGTCCTAAGATGAGCTCAGAGCGGACGGAAACCTCTCGTAGAACAAAGGGTAAAAGCTCGTTTGACTGGGCTCCTCAGTACCGAGTCCAGCTGCGAAAGCATGGCCTATCGATCCTGCGACCCTGATTGACAACGCTCCTTGTTGGCGCAGGTGCCAGAAAGTTACCACAGGGATAACTGGCTTGTGGCAGCCAAGCGTTCATAGCGACGTTGCTTTTGATTCTTCGATGTCGGCTCTTCCTATCATTGTGAAGCAGAATTCACCAAGCGTCGGATTGTTCACCCGCAAATAGGGAACGTGAGCTGGGTTTAGACCGTCGTGAGACAGGTTAGTTTACCCTACCGATGGAGCGTTATTGGGCAAGTAGAGCAACTCAGTACGAGAGGAACCGTTGTTCGACAGAATTGGTCTTGCGGTTGGTCGAGGGCCACGCCGCGCAGCTACCCTGTCTAGGATTACGGCTGAACGCCTCTAAGCCGGAAACCATGCTTAGGCAAGCAGTAACGGGAAACTGGATGCAAGTGGCGAGCGGCGCAGAAGCGCAGAGTAGGGCAGTGCAAGCTGTCGGCAACGCGGGGGGAGACTCGGTCCTTGCCTTTTTCACGAAGCTGTGGGCAAGGGCTGGTCTTTGAGATGTGGAGTACGCGGTAGTCACTTGCGTGGATCCTCTGTAGATGACTTTGTTCGCATGGGGAGTTGTAGGAAGCTGAGTGGCCGAGTTTGCCACGAACTTTTGAGACCTTGCCCTATCTTTTTAGAGTATGCGATTGATCTTTTGCCCGTACATACTTGGGCCGTGGCAACCGAGCGTCAGCGAGGTTGGTCAACGACCGAGCGTCAGCGAGGTCTTGGTACCGAGCGGTAGCGAGGTCGAGGTCTTGGTAGTGAGCGGTAGCAAGGGGAGTGAGCAAGGGGAGTGAGCGGTAGCGAGGGGAGTGAGCGAGTGCGACCTACCGACCAACCGACCGAACGCCAGCGGGTCTGGGGACAGGCAACCAACCATCAACGGGCCCACCCCAAGACCCAGGGCAACACCATCGTCGAGCCAGCGCAGCGCAGCGGGGGGTCCAGGGGGGCGGCAGCCCCCTGGGGATACAGACATCATCGGGATGCTGCGGATGATAGAGGACACCACCAACACCACCTCCCCCCTTCCCCTCCTTGTCTTGAACAATCCAGACTTGGGCCCGGCCACTGATCGAACTGTCACTCGTCAGTCAGTCAATGAATCAATCAATCACTCACTCGGTTGGTCGGTTGGTTGGTCGGTTGGTTGGTTGGTCGGTCGGTTGATCGGTCGGTCGGTCGGTCACTTGGGCAAGCACAGGCTGGTTGCCCTCGAGTAGCAGAGGACAGTCAGAGGAGTTGGGCCTGGCGCAAGCAATCATCAGCAGCACCAGCAACAGTACCAGCACCAGCATCGGCAGTCAGGCTTGGGGGTAGAGTAAGGGAGGGAGGGAGGAGGGGAGAGAGGAGGAGGGGAGGAGAGGAGATGATGAAGACAGGGAGGAGGGGGGGGAGGAAGAGTGGGGGGGAGGAGAGGGAGAGGGAGAGTAAGAGGAAGAGGGAGAGAGAGGAGAGGGAGGAGAGCAAGAGCAAGAGCAAGAGCAAGAGCAAGAGGTAGGTTGATCATGTCAGGGTGGCATGTGAGCTCATCAGGCGGCGAGGCGGGTGCCGGCGAGGCAGGTCGGTCCAACGCGCACGCAACGCCGACACCATCAAGACCACAAGCCAGCAAGCAACACTGGTCATGGTCGTTGCCGTCCACCTCTCACCCTCCCTCTCGTCGCGCTCCTCGTCGTCGTCCATCTCGCCGTGCCCGTCGTCAGCGCCCCATCGGCAACTCGATCGCACTTGGGCCCAGCCAGTCATAGGGGGAGAGCCTTGTCCTCGGCCAGCCAGACTTGGGCCCGGTCTCAATCAGCAGCGACGCAGCCGGGCGGCCGTAGCTGATGGCGTGGGCCGAGGCAGTTGTGGCCTGCGGGGCAGGTGGAGCGAGAGAAAACTCAGGCCAGGCCATGGTCATGGCTGGGTCATCGTCAGTCGGTGTCGATGTCGGTGTTGGTGAGGGGGGAGTGGGAGTGAGAGTGGGTGGGGTCGGCGGGCGGCGGGCGGCGGGCGGGCGTCGGCGGCCGTGGTGGAGCAACAACAACAACAACAACGACGACGACAATCACTCGCACCAGGTCAACTGTATCTGCCTCCCCTCCCACTCGCTCTTTTGCTCACGCTCGCCCCTGCCATCCCGATCTCACGCCCTCATCCTCGACCTCAGCCTCGGCCCGCCCGCTCGCTCGCTCGCCTTGGCCATCGCTCACTTGGGCCCGCCCGGCAGCGATCCGGCGCCGATGGTCATCCACACCAGCTGCCTCCCTCCCGGCATATAGTTCATTCATCCCTCCCCCTCGTCACATCCCCTCTCCTTCTCCCTCTCACTCCCCAGCAGTCGCAGCCTCGGCCTCAGCTACGACCACCGCCTCACCTCGTCGTCCGCCATCGCCACCATCACCGCCGCCGCCTCAACCATCACTCCCATCACCAACCATAGCCATCACCCATCACTATCCCCATCACCACCCCCACCATCAACAACCTGGTCATCGCCGCCTCAAGCTCGTGCTTGCTCATCTCCAGCACCACCAGAAGCAGCACGCCGCCCATGCCGACGAGTGGCTGACCGACCAGTGGCTGGCCGTCACTCGACCACTCGCACCTCGCCCACAGCACCAGCCACCACCACCACCACCACACTCATCTCACTCCAGCCATCTACACCCCCTCACCCTCACTCTTTGCCACTCCTCCCGTATAGCCAGCCGCAGGTCGTGCTGGGCTTGCTCCGGCTCGCTCTGGCTTGGCTGCGGCTGGTCGGGCGCGCGGGCGAGCGAGCGGCGAGTTGCTGGCCAGCGAGCAGTCGACAGGCGACGGTACGTACGGCAGGACTCGGGCTCAAACAGCAGACCACTGCACTCTTGTCAACCACCGCCCCCTCCCTCCTTCCTCCCTCCCTCCCTCCTCGCCCTCTCCGGCCCACTGGCCCCGTCTGCCGTCGACGGTAGCAGCAACGGCTCGACGGCAGCAGCAGCAGGCCGGGTGGTATTGGGATGGGCAAGGCGGGAGAGAGAGGGAGGTAGGGGGGGGTGCAGCAAGGGCCTGATAGTCATCACCACCCATGTCACTGCCCGCATGCACCTCCTCCCGTCCCGCATCCATGCCTGGGTGGCCCCGGTGGCGTGCCGGTTGGTGGGCGGCGGATGGCGCTGGTGGGCGGCGGCGGTCAGCGGCAGGCAGCAGGCGGCCGGCAGCGATGCTGTTGACGGGCTGGTGTCGGCTGAGGTACGTCCACGCGGGCGGAGATTGGATGGGTGAGGTTGTAGGGATAGTAGGCAGGTGTGGTGTGGGTGTGGTGGTTGTGGGTGAAGATGGTGGGGAGTGGGGGTCGGAGATGGGCCCGCGGCGGGGTGTGCACCTTCGAAGGGACACAGGGCCAACAACTTGGGCCTCGGGTGGCAGAACTCGGATTCTGGAATACTGTAGCTGTGGATTGGAGACTGTGCATGGGGGTAGTGTGGGCGTGTAGTAGAGTAGTAGTGAAATCAGATTGGCCATATCTTGCAATGAGGGTGGTGGGGGTCGTGTGCGGGGTCGGGCGGTCGAGGACGTGCTCAACCACCTAGGCAGAACAAGCCGACGCGGAAATGAGCCGAGGTAAATGGATATGGATGACAGCGATATTGGTACTGGAGATAGTGTGGGATGTGTGATGACCTTGGGTGTGGTCGCGGGTTGTGTAGCTGGTAGTAGGAAGGAGCTAGGTGGTGATGAAGGTGGGCTGAACGGGCGAGCGGGCGGCGGCTGGCGGCTGGTGGTCGGCGAGGCGAGGGCTGCTGAGGAGGCGGGGTCGGGGCTGGGTGGCTCGAGATCGCTGTTGGTTAAACGATGCGCAGAATGACTTGTGATGGTTGAGGGATGCCGGTGTCAGGGTCGGGAATGAGGATGGGGGTGAGATGGAGTGAGGAGAGGAGGAGGAGGAGGAGGAAGAGGAAGCCGAGCGCGCGATGGGGTGGTGGTGAGAATGACCATGACCTGTGGGTGGTGGTTGTGGCTGCAATGATAGTGAATGTGGTGGAGTAGGGGTGGGGGTGGTGGTTGGGAGTGATCGGCAGTAATGAGTATGGTAGGGGGGATGAGGGGGGTCGTGACGTGGGTGACGGGACTGGCGAAGAGGTGATGGGTATGGAGATTGGGCTTGAGCATTGATGAAGGTGAGTATGATACGGCTGATGGGTGTGTGTGGGTGTGGGCAATGAGGGTGGAGGGGCTTGGGCGGCATGGGCGAGGAGGGCCGACGGATTGGATTGAGATCAACGTCGATGGAGACGAGGGCTTGGGATTGGAGGAGGAGGCAGACCACTGCACTTTAGCCCACCACTGCATTGGATATCGTTTGCCCTTGCCCCTCTTGTTCTTCCTTGTCTTGGCCAGCCCGGTGGCTTCGTCGTCTGGCACGGTGATCGGCAGCAGGGGCGGCTGGCGATGAGCAGGCCGGCGGGGACTGTGATGGGCAAGGCCGGAAAAGGGAGGGGAGGATTGGGTTGGAGGGCATACTGATAGTCATTGCTATTGCTGTGGCTATCCGTATGCATTGTTTCCAATGCCCTGTGCATGGCTAGCTTGCTCTCGGTGGTGTCGGAGGTGGTCGGTCGGCGGCGGGCGGCGGTCGGCGGTGGGCAGCAGGCGGTCGGCAGCGGTGCTGTTGACGGGATGGTGTCGGCTGGTGAGCGTATCGGGGCAAGTGAAGTGGGTGGTTATGTTTGCAGGCATAGTGAGTACGTGTGGCGCGGGTGTGGTGGTTGTGGGTGTGATGGTGGGGAGTGGGGGTCGGAGATGGGCCCGGGAGGGGGGTGAGCAGCATCGAAACGACACCAGGACAACAACTTGGGCCTCGGGTGGCAGAACTCGGATTCTGGAATACTGCAGCTGTGGATTGGAGACTGTGCATGGGGGTAGTGTGGGCATGTAATAGGGTAGTAGTAAAATCCGATTGGGCATATCTTGCAATGAGTGTGGTGGGGGGCATGTGCGGGGTCGGGCGGTCGAGGACGTGCTCAACCACCTAGGGCAAACTAGTCGGTGCGAAAGTGAGCCGAGGTCGATGGGTATGGACGACAGCGATATTGATACTGGAGCTAGTATGGGGCGAGTGATGACCTTGGGTGTGGTCGTGGGTAGCGTGGCTGGTAGTGGGAAGGAGTTAGGTGGTCATGAGGGTCGGCTGATCGGGCGAGCGGGCGACGGCTGGTGGCTGGTGGTCGGCGAGGCGAGGGCTGCTGAGGGGCGGGGTCGAGCGGGGTGGCTTGAGATTGCTGATGGTCGGTGGATGGGCAGTATGACTTGTGATGGTTGAGTGGTGGCAGTGTTGGGGTCCGGGTAGAGGATGAGGGTGAGTTGGAGCGGGGAGACGAGGAGAAGGAGGAGGAAGAGGAAGCGGAGT